CTACTACTATATATATATATATATATATATATATATATATATATATATATATATATATATATATATATATATATATATATATATATATATATATATAATTAATACTGACTTTTAAAATTAAAATGTATCTTTCTTTTGACAAACACTTATTTACCTTTTTTGATCATCGTATCATGGATAATTTCAAAGAAAATGGATTAATTTCACATTTAGGTGTTGTAATTAACTTTCTGCAGCATTGTTTACACCTCGTAGACAGGTAGAGCATTTGGTGGAAGGGCCAATATTCACAACCAGGGAAGTTAACTATGCCCAATGAATTTCACTTTTTAATCTATTTCATTTCAGAAAAAGTTACTGCAATGTTTTTTCATTTGGGTAAAGAACCATTCAGCAGTTTAGCTGTAAACTCATCAGTTTAAAAATAGGAATACAAAGCTTTTTGCAAAGTACTGATTGAGAGGGAATAATTTTTGTACTAAACTGACTTCAGTGTTTCTATTAGTTTTTTTTACACCTTCTCAAATCTCACACCTCAAAATATATGTTCAAAGCAATTTAAGCCATTTCTTGAAGTCATTTAACAAAAGTTTAGATTATTATACGGCAGTTTATTAAAATTAATGAGATCAGATCTCATCTTTTTTTTTAAATCCAGGACAAAATTCAGCTGTTTTTCAAAAATTCCCATCAAAATGAATTATTTTAGTATGGCTTGTTTCCTCTAGACGTTGGTTGGTCCAGCAGATATTGAGAATGGTTGGTCAGTTTTATTTAGATAGGCTTGAGAGATATTTGCCAACTCATGGATAATTTGAACTCTATATTCTAATCCGTCGTTTTATTATTTCAGAAGCCTCCATATTCGTATATTTGGTTAACATACATGGCTATACAGAATTCAGAAGAAAAGATGCTTCCGCTGACTGAAATTTACAAATATATTATGGATAAATTTCCGTTTTATCGCAAAAATACACAACGATGGCAAAATTCTCTCAGACATAACTTATCATTCAATGATTGTTTTGTTAAGGTATTCTTCAATGATTTCTTCTTTTATCCATTAGAAAAAGTAGACTTATTTCTTCAAAGACTAAAATGGGACCAATCAAATGGTACAACAATGCCTTTGCTTCAAGATTTATCAGATAAATAGCAATTGAGAGGACAGCTGAAATGAAGGAATAAGAGTTTCGCTTACTTTTAACTTTGTTTTAAAATCAACGAGGAGGTCATAAGATGCAATGATCCGAATAAGGTTGGCATAATACACATTCTGAGCATAGGTCTTATATTTGAACTCAAATTTCAAACTTTGTTGCTCTTTCTACTTAAGCTCTTTTGCTGTAAAAAACAAAAACGTCATAAGTTACAATTGTTTGCAATCTTGTTATTTGCTTTACATAAAACTCATAGTATAAACTAATTCTTTAACTGAGTAAAATCTGGTCACTTTCATGATTTACGAACTATCACTCAACTTCAATTTTCAATATTCATAAAAAAATGATTTGTAATTCTTAATTACCTCCGTTGCTTTGCTTTAAATATTCTCTCAGAATTCAATAACGAATTTGCAAATTTCAAGTGAACTTCTTTATTCAGCCAAATTACTAATTGCAAAAAAAAAGAACGTTTTGAAGGACGATTTGGAAGATTTATTTTGCATTCACTTTTTTCTCCTATAAAATATATAATATTGGATAGGATCGTAAATAAACTATAACCACCCGCTGTGCTCTCTCTGAGTGATACCATCCCGTCCCGGATAGCTTTACTCCGTCGGTCAGTTATTTTAATCAAAGAAAAAACTGGTTCAAACAACACTGCAGCATTTTGCTGCTAATCGAGTCGAGAGAATATTCCATCTTTAATTTCAGTTCGCAATCTCTAATTTTAATTGCATATTCGACAACTTTGGTCAAAATAAGATTTTATTAGAACTCTTTGATCTTTATGCTTTTTTTTCGCGGATAGATCTCTTCGAGTCTTATTCATTTTTACATGACTGAAACAATACGAAATGATCGGCTTTCACTTTATTATTTAATTATTGATCTAACTTTCCACTTGTAAAATATAAAGTAAGCGATGGTAGTAAAACTATAATCTTAACGGTACCGAGGACAAAAAGAATGCAACGAGCTACCGTATACCAAATCTCGTCAGAGCTGCAATACTGATGATAGGCTGCGTCATGTAAAAATGAATTTTAGCGTAACTACAATTGCACTTCTTTCATCCGCGGTACTGCTAAGATTGCAATTTTACATGCCAATATATTTCAAAATTCTAGTGTCTAAAAACTTCACCGCTTATTTCTCTCCTTTATTAACTAATGATTAAGATTGTTATAAACGTTGCCTCGAAGTAGCCACGAAAAGAAGTAATTGCGAATAACCCAAATGAGAGGAAAAAAGAAGACCAAATTTAACTAATGAAATTTAATCACTTCTGTTTTAGATACCACGACGACCAGATAAGCCCGGTAAAGGATCTTATTGGGCGGTTCATCCACATGCTCTAGGAATGTTTGAAAATGGTAGCTGCTTGAGACGAAGGAAAAGGTTCAAGGTATTTTCTCTCATTTCCGCTAAAGCTTGGCAATTTTCTTTGAGAAATACTAGTTGTGAAGTGGCAGAGATTTAACTCATGAGAGATTTACTATGATTACTCTAGTAGTTTTGCACTCGATAAATTCAGGATAGGATACTGGAATCGATCTTCTTTTGCTCACTTCCAATATACAATTTTTCTGCAAAACTTACCCAGTCACCAAGAAATAATTAGAGTGTATCCATTGCTTTTTAATATACTTGCCTTAATGTTATTTAATGGATAGGTCCAAACATATGGTACTAGCGAAGATTTGCAACATCCACTCCCGAAGCTAACCTACCATCAACCTCCGTGTTCTCCATTGCAATGGCTATTCCCTACTCATTTACCATCATCCGTAATATCCGGAACATTCATGGATCCGCAACAATTCTTCTTGACAACCCATAGCCTCCTTTTGTTCCCTTCTTTAACTCAGCAATTAGCTGATTCATCAACCATTATGACACCAAAATCAATTTGTAATTCTTCCTTTACCATTGATTCAATATTATCATCACCAACCTGACTAATATCACTTATCATGGCTCAACAAATTTTTGCAAACTATTTTTACAAATTTTTGATATAACTTTTGTAATCCCGACAAATGGTAATATTTTTTGTAATATTTACTCCTTAGAACTTTTTGAAAATGGAATTAACTATTGCAAGAGCTTTTACTAGCTCAAATTTCTTTTCTTAGTCCGATTTCAAAATATCATTCCATCTTATTATTCAAATATATGAGAGAAGTCATTCTCAAGCGTTCATTCATGAAATACGACTGCAAAACGATTACTTTCTTCATCCGCAATGATCATAACATCGCAGTTTACAGTATCCTTCGTCCTTATCAGGTTGTCCATTATCATCCATATTCATTATCATCCATTTGTTACCGTTACGCTGCCTGTTTTTTCATTGTTATAATTAGTCATTGCTCGCAGTACATTTAAACATCAACAATAAAAGATTTCACTTTACGACGGATTTAATTCAAATCTGCGTGAATTTCAAATTTTTTTTTTGAATTTCAAATGAATAAGTGGTTTTCACAATTATTTGTTGGAAGCGTTGAAATGTTGAAAATGTTTGAATAAAGTGTGTTATCTATTTCCTTATTTTCAATTTTCGTTTAAAATCCATTCAATTATCACCAAAAAAAATTAACGATACTACCTTTGCATTCAAATTTTACCCAATTATGACCCAAATTATGATCCAATTATGAGCGAAGCTCATTAAGGGATGATTATCAATTAAAATGATACTAAAATGCCATCTTCTCTTGTCCTGCTCTATCCAATAAGTCTATTCACTTAGGAAACCCATATAACTTGCTTAAGATACTTATTTCTCGATTAAAGAGCAAAGATAAGTCCAAAGTAGTATAGTTCTGAAGTACATATATGCCAGAAAGAACTTGTGCAAACGATTCAAATTCAAAGGTAATTAATTATACCTTCCAATTAAATATTGTAATCTTTCAAACAACCACGATATCAAAATCTTGCAAATATTTAGTTTCGTCCTGTTTTAATTATCATATATCTCTGCTCTTGATTCCATTAGAGATTTCGTTGTTAAAATTATATCTGTTGATATTAATTAGATTTGTATATACGTTTGATATCATATTGTGTTATTATTATAATCATTAATGAATGAAATGAATTTGATCTGTGGTCGTCCAGTAGGTGACATTACTCCATTTATTGCAATTGGCAATACTGCTTATTACAATGCAACAGATGTTTCAGCTTGTTCTCATCCTTTCCTATCATTTCTTCTTTATGCTACTCCTTTGGGAATGATTGCCAAATTATGTTCCCAAAGGTTAAGGGTCATAACTGTTTTTGTTAATTCACTGAGTGAGCAAAGAAAGGTTATATTTCGAGAATTGTCGTAACCTTGGTAAAGTTTCTTAAAGAAACTTTTTTTCAAAATTTATTCTTTTTCTTAATTTTTTTTTCAAAAAGCTTTCAAAATTTTGTATTTTTGATTATATACACAATTGAAATGACCTGTTTTCCAAAGTGAATTTTTTTTAATATCTTATTTTCACTTGTTGGGAGTTTTTCAAGGAAAAGTGATTATTTTAGTGTACCTATTTTATGATGGTCATTATGATAATGATAATAGTTATAACAGATTGCTATTATTGTAATTATCATCATTACCATAACCACTGGAAAGGATATCTCCAAAATTCTCGCACTGGAAAAAAGTATTCATGTGATTTTTAGAGAGGTAACTGTGAAACAAAAGCAACGATCGTCACTACCATTAAAATGTCCTTGTTTCCACTATTGCCATTACCATCAACAATCATACTGCCATTTTTGGTGTTTTATGGTTTTTGTTGATTGGCCATTCGGTTGATGATTCTGTCATCTTATCTATGGGTTTATTTTGCGGTAAAGGCGCCAAAATGGTTGGTGATTATAACGCGAATTGGTATTTAACCAATGACAACGGTGACCGCAGTAAATTAACCACAGGTGATCACAGTACCACAGCAAATTGTCTCTTAAAATATTATCAATGATAAAGGAAACACAAACATATAGTTGCCAGTGATTGAATTTTCTGTTTGGTTTTTTTCTGAACCCTAAGGAAGATGTAACCCCAAATAAATCTTAATTTCAAAGACTATGCATTAAAACAATATGACTAATAGTGTGAGATAAACAAAAACCCAATTAGTTGGCAGCAGATTCATCTTGAAACATTTGAGCAAAAGATCGTATGAAAATGCTAATACCAATGTTATCATCTTCAGACAAACGAAATTAGATAAACCTAATCGGAGGTATAAACTTACTTGAAATATTCAAATGTCTTTTCGGGATGATTGGCTTCTCGGTTTGTAATGATCTAAGCAAATACCCATGGGAAATCATGGCATTGTCCAGAAATTATTTGTTTTCAAACAATTTCTTTCTTCCTTCTTGTCTTAATCTATCTATACTAATGAAAATCTGTGTATTGGAGTGTTAACCCTTCTCGGCAATCCTAATCTAACTCGCCGCCTTCTTTGCATTTCAAATTCTGAAATAAAAATTAAACCAGCATTTCGTTCAATATAACACGCATTTACAACGACTTACCTTGTTGTCACAGTACCTCCCATCATTCCATCATGCCATTTTCACCTCACACTAATGATGTGTATTCTGAGAGTAATGCTGTCCCGATGAATCTATGTGTTAATTTTTGATTATTATTATCAAAGAAGGATGCATAAAATTCAAATATCTAAAAACACGTCAGATTGATGCAAAGTGCTTTATTAGAAATGAAGCAGTTGGGATTTTCCAGCAATAATCAATTTCTTTCTCGAAATAAGATGAAATCAATCCAGTTCAAACTAGCAAAACTAAACTAGAAAATTCTGATGAACGCAAAGAGATGGTCTGGTATGTCTCAGGATAAGAACTTTTCCTTTATAATAAATACTATTCATTTCTTCAAACTAGAAGAGGAAAAGCAAAACAAAAACACTATTATTTCTCTTCAATCTCTTTCTAATTGTACTACATTTTTAAGAACAATTTTCGGGTTATTCCATGAAACAAAAAGGTGATGATAAGGTTTGAAAATTAATGTCAAGGACATGAGAATATACATCTAAGCAGAGACATTTGTTCGAAAAATACTTTTTTTTTGCTTGCTTAACGGAAAATAAATGTTTCCTATCAAATAAAATATGCACTTCTTTCCTTTCTCCCTTTTTGCTCTTCCTATATTCTTTCCCTTGTCGTGTCTCAAAGCTGAAGTAAAGGAAGAGGGAAATAGCTTATTTCTATGGTACGTTTCGATATCTAATACTGGAAAAAAACTTTAAAACTGGAATTAAAAAAAGAAGAATTAATAGATAGGTACACATGGTTTAAGGATTCGACAACATTTTACGCTCTAATAATTTTTCTCATTGAACAAAAAAATTATTCAGGAAATGAAGCTAACGATGCAATATGCAATTTGGAAACAACGACAAGCCTTAAAAGATATTTGTCGTACTTTTGCAACTGTTATTCATCCTAACTTGTCTATTAACGTTGTCCAGCTAACATCTGATAACAGCATCTTATCAGAACTGTTATCATTAATTCTCTACTATCAAATACTAACATAGTCACAAAGAAAATCCAAGAAATTCAAGATTTATTATGAGATTCAAGTTAAAAGAGATATGAAGATCTATATGAATTGCACGGAAGGAAATCACTGATAATATTGTGTCTGTTTGTATTTTGTATATAATCAAATTGTATATTAGATATGATTCAAAATTTGAGTTGCAACCGAAATTTATTGCCAATAAACAATTAGTAATAGCAATAGCAATCAATTCTTTACTTCCACGTGTCACCAAAGATTTTGATGATAAATTTACCCAATTTCACTTAAAATGTTTATGGCACTTCTCATAAAAATCCCATCGAACAGCAAAAAATTTAGATGATATTCGAAAAAATATTGTGTACGTTAAATGTCATTTGTGCATTGTTCGTTGAGTAACAGATCCATACCATCATCCTTAATTTTATTCCGATTTATGATCCTCTGACTTTCTATGTATCCGAAAAGAGCAACTTACTGTTGATCGAGTCAATATTAAAGTGATAGCCTATCATTTTTAATAACTCGTTTTTTGGCTTGTTATGGCTTGCTTTTTGCTCTGAGTACTCAACACAAAAGCAACAAATATGCTATCACCTTGCTTGATTGAAAATGAGGCTGTGATCTTGGAGATACATCAATAGGCATCTATATAAAAAGATGCAAAAAAAAAGGTAAGGGACAAAAGGCAAGGGACAGAATCTTCTCAGAAGTCTCTAGACTGTGAGGAAATGATTAGCTAGATCCATTTATTTTGAAGTAGGTGATTAATTTACAGAAAATATTATAAAATCCCAGTCGTCCTGATAATGATAGCTATCTGCTAGCGAAAAAATAACACTTGTACAAACCAGCCAAGAAAAAGTTGAATCCTTCTTTTTCAATATCTAGATGTAACATTAGAATACAATCGCTTAGTATTAAAATGCTTAACTGTTCAGGAAGATTCTGAAATAACCTTTACGATAGAAATAAAAAGTTATCGAAGAAGTTCAAGATTTCTGGGATAAGGCTTATCCAAAGTACATCACTGACATTCCGTTTTAAATTAAACTATTTAAAAAGTGATTACCAACACGAGTGAAGAATTTCGTTCACTGAATATTTGCAGCCAAGAAAGATGAATTATAAATTAGTAAAACGGATTTTGGTTTCAGGAGCTATGGCAGCAATTTTATGACAACCCAATCAATCGAATATACGACATAAAAGTTGAATTTTTCCGAGCAAAAAAAAAAAGTGACAGAAATATCTCGACATCCAGTGAATGTTGATTGAATTCTAGAAAAGTAACACATAGATATGTCATCCATCAGTTATCGGACCATTTTATGTTTCAACCAATCAGTTTTAAGGAAGGTTAGGATGAGACTAATTCAGATTACCAGACAAAAGCTAGTC